GGACTGTCACATAATTTACATACTACACGTACTAACATAACATAGCCAATAATATCATGCAAAGTCAATAAGTTGACAATGGTCTTTACAAGAAAGTGAAATTCATACCTCAACCTAGATTACATACCAACTTCTATGCACAAGTTGAAAAAAATCAGGCTACATAATTTGTCTGATGGTATAAGGTGTTAAAACTGTTTTCAAAGCTTACTTGTGGATGGAAGCATCTGATGGTACAACCTTCCTCCACATAACCACCAGATCCTTTCCATTCATGGCCAAAAGAGAAAGGCTATTTTCTTTGATTACAAAAACAACATCTTTCACCCCGTCACCATCAAGGTCTGTCAGGAGGGGTTCGAGCAGGATGAGAGTATCTTTAAAAACGCTGATGAAACCAGTGAGCGAGTCTGGTGTATGGTCTCCCCATGGTTGACCTGGAATCTTCTTTGTCGGCTTTCTAACTTTCTCTAGTAAATCAGAAACTGATATAGCCCATAGTGACGAACTGTTCCCCTTGTATGATGTTGATCCGACAATCACAAATTGTTGTTTGCTTGATGGAGCATGGACGGCAAGGACATTGCTGCCACCATGACTGCCTGGTAATGGTAGGGAGTTGCCAAGAATTTTTCCTGTTGCTCCAGATACCAGACTGACGCTGCCTTCTGAGTACACCTTTTCATAAACCTTGAGATGTTCCTGGACAAATACAATGTCTCTTTCCCCATCACCATCAATATCATTGACAAATTTAAATGAATCAACTTTACTGTTAGAATGTGTCTGCCATTTTGTGGTGCCATTTTCCGAGTTGAAAAGCACAAGATTTGTTTTCTCTTCAACAAGCAAGCAGTGACCATTGCTCTTCACGCCTGACATGTCTGTAACTCTTTCACAAGCAAGAAAACCAAGGGAAGAATTCCAACTAACATCCCACAGACTATAACCACATGAACCGTGTATAGCCATAAGACCAGCACCAAGGCAATTTGTGCTCTTACAAAGCTGTCTCAAGAAGGATGAATTCCCAGACTCCTTCTCCTCAATTTTAAATTCAACTAAAATATCTCCTCTACCATCTCCTGTCACATCAACCAGTGATATCATCATCGGAGTGATACCGCCCAACTTGTCAGTCCAGTTAACAAATGCCTGGTCTCCCTTTCCAGGACAGCCTGGATCTTTCTGACACTTTGGTTTATGACAGGGCAGCAAAAAGGCAAACGCAAATATTGTAAACACACAGAGCAGCAGAGCGCCTACCAAAGCAATCCGTCGTTTCATCGACAGCGGTTGTTTATCGGCAGATGTCGGCTGCTCGCCTTCAAGTAGAGAGTTTTCGTTATCTGACGATCCGCTTCCCTCTGTATCTGCATCTGCCTCTGGATCGTCGGCCGTCGCTGCGTTCATTTCCATTAGAGGCCTTGAACCGGTCGATGTAGTCATTTGACTGAATTCTTTAATTTGAAAACTCTCTCTCTGAAATCAAGTGTACTTTCAATTTAAGCTATCTACAACAAATCGCTTGGCTCAGATCCTCAGCTGGGTAATTATCCTTTGAATAGTCCAAGATCGCTAATTTTCACTCAAAGTTTCATCATCTCGATGACGAAACGAGATACATGTGTCCCAGTTTATCAGAAATCTTGACTCAGCATAAATCTCAAACCACCCTTGTGAGCCAGACGCGAACGACGCTTCACACATTAACTTTGCGATTACATTAAACAAACTCCTTTTAACAGCTGTTTCGTTCCCTCAACACTGAGTTAATTGCCTTGGTAAACAGCGCGCAAAGTAATTGTACTCGTTCAGAGTCAATTTGAATATGCCTTTCGAAAGGGCAGTTCTCTGCTCTCCCCAGTTGCAGTGTGTTTGTTTCTTAGCTTCAAAGAAAACCGCCTCCATTTGACGTCACTTGAAGAAAATTGGCCTTTAGAACCACCGCGTTTTCAGAATTTGTGGGTTTTTGAATTGTTATCTCCTTTATCAGGCTTTTGTGGGCCCGTTACGATCAGCTGTTTCACCAGCTGCTGCTCCACTTCAGCTCCGCCATGTTCATTTCCAGCCAAATGAACACGAAGTGGGGTATAGTGAGTAGAACAATGGATTTATTTACCGGGGAAGAGTGCAAGGCATACCGGCCAAAGGTTCTTTTCTTCTGTCACTATGAAGAGTACCTACGGACATTGATAGAATTTGAAACATTTCACAAACGAGACCACGAGTGGAGTAAGGGAAAAAATTACATTAAATTTGTTCCAAACGTTTTCATCTGGGGGTAAAATCGTAACGTACGACCCTTAACTTCAAACGAAAGCCATCATCTATTTCACGTGGTACTGTCAGGATCATCTCACATGGTACTGTTTATTGTGTCTCGTGCTCCACAGCTTTTGCGATATTAGAGGAAACACTTTTATGCCTGCTTTTCCAAATGAAAGCTTCTGAGCGGTAGAAGTAATGTGATCCTTCTAATTTCATGAAATGAAATTAAGGTT